CTCCAAGTAATCGTCGAGTTCTCTGCTTGCTGCCAGCACTGAAGCAATGCATAGCAGGTGAAGTAAGAGGTAAAACAGAAATAAAAGCTTTAATTATCTTTGACTTACTCTTAAAAGGAAGACGAAGCCAACTTGTATCTGCACTGCTGAGAGCAGAGCTCAAGATTCAAGTGATGGGGGAAAGCTGTAATCAGAGGTGTTTCAACAGTTTCCGATCTCAGGTGATTTGATGTTTCAGTGATGAACAATAAATATAATAATAAAATCTATTGGCAAACTAAAAACGAAAAGAAAGTTCTGTCGCTGAGAGGAGAACAATCAGGTTTCAACTCGACTGCATACAAGTGCGAAACTTGAATATCCTGTGCGCTCTCGTGCTGTGCATACACCCCATTCTACGTTTCTGAAAGCGGCAAGAAACTGCAGAAACCTCAACAAAAAAACGGTAATACTCTCTGAAAATACTGGTTTCTATGCAGACTGAAACCTAATAAAGCCGTTACTTTGGAAGAAATTCAATAATAAGGAAACTCAATTATCGTCAGTTTCTGGTTGGTGGTTCGGTTCATGTCGAGGGCCATTATGCTGAATTAGGCCGTTTTATTCACAGAACCAAAATAAATATTTTATTTCCTCTTTTTTCTGCAAAAGAGGATGGAGTAGTCTGTCTTATACACGAAACCAAAACGAAACCTTAATTGTGTTTCTGCTTCCTTCTGCATGATGAACACCCATTCCGATCTCTCCTTTCTCGCTGGAAAAGGCCCTTATCTGCTGCCTCAGCAGCAAGAAATGCACCCCTTTACCCCTTCATCACTGAAAATAATTTTTTTAATTCAACAAAACCACCAACAAACCCACTAGGAGATGTATCCCCCCTTGATGCTGCTGCAACGCACAGCGCCCTGGGGAGTAACCAGCGGCAGGTCCTGAGAACCGCAATAAACACAAAAAAAAAAACACAAAATCAATCCGCATGCTTATATCTTCTATCTCGTTTTTATAAGCAACAAAAATACTCGTTTTTCGCTCGATAAGAGAGAGAATACCACAAGATGCAAATCAAAGCAGCCACTGGAGCCGTCAAAAAAAAAAGTTAGCATTAAGAAGAAACAGTGTCAGTGCAAAGGGCACATACACATATACATCAG